TTCACTAAATTTCACGAGGTTTTTGGTGCGCTCGACTCCGGATCGAGTGGTCCGGGTTCGAGCCCCGGCCGGGACATTGTGTTGTGTTCTTAGGCAAGATGCCTCTCTCCACCCAGGTGTTTAAATGGGTACCGGCAATTTAATACTGGGGGTAACCCTGCGATTGACTGGCATCCCATCCAGGGGGAGTAGAAATACTCCTAGTCACTTCATGCTACAGAAACCGGAGTTAAGCACCGCCCTGATGGGCCACTATGCTCGTAAACAGACTTTACCTTTTACCTTTAAGACTATTTCACTAAATTTCACTAACTTTCACGCCAACAGTGTTTTGAGAAATCTATGTCACAATCCGAGTGACCGCTGACCGAAGATAAATTTGCCGCGATTACGAAAATTAATGGCGGAACGGTTTTCAAATCGTAACTTCTCGCCCTAGAATTGACTTTCACCTAAAATTATTATTGAAAAGGCTTTATTAATTGCTAAAAATTCATATTGTAATGTAATAACTGAATTTTTCGGGTTTTCAAATTATAGAGCGGTTTCGTAAGAGTGCTCCTTTAAGGGTGGAGGGGTGGGGGAGGCTAACAGAACGACTGATAGAGGAATGATAGAAATCATTTACAAGGCAACGTCATCGTCAAGCATGCTCGCTTTCATCATGTAAATTAATTCTCTTGCAGGCATTATGCCCACTACACCGTCCATTCTACGAACAATTAATTCCAGTCCGGGCTCCTCCTACTCGGGGGCTGGTAAATCTTCATCTGAGAGCTTTGACGGATATCCAACCACGAGCATTGTGGGATCTCCATCCAAGAACGCTACAGGATCTTCAACTCAGTGCATTGTCCGTATAATAGTTACCACTTTCCATGCAATTTTGGTTCCTGTAACCTTAATTTGGTAGCATCTCTGTTGGAATGAACCGTGAAACCTTATATAGAAACTAGCTGGAGGTCCCACCCAATTTGTTGCGATCCAGTTGCAACTGTAAAGGCCATCGAGAGAGGTGTTTATGCCAAATGAAAAGGCTCGTAGTGCATTGTTCCTGACATCGCCTTCTTTTCTAACGACAACAACAATAACTTTATTTGAAGAGGGAGGCGCAATAACCTATTACATTTTTCCAACTTATATTACAACCCTCAAAATAAATAAATTTGGGAGATAAACGAGCATATATATATATATATATATAAAGTGTGACTTGATTTTCGTAGAACAGTGCTCAATACATAGAAGTAGAGCGAAGTATATATTGTGGGAGGAAAAAGACAAGTAAACTACAAGTTCATCCCTACAAGCCTGTTTCGTGGTCGCCCACTCATCAGGGGATTTAATGAGAATAAACTTTACCATTGCTTATATACAATATAATTTGCATGATCTAACTAGTCTAATTTATGCAGCGCGAAATTGACAGTTTAGTTGTTGCGTAGGAGGGCTTTGCTTCTGTGGCGGCATGAAGACACGAGTTCATTACGTTTGTTTAGTGTTGATAGTTCGGGCCGGCAGATGATTAGGAATTTTTCTTTGAGGCAGAGGTTACATCTTTTAGTTGAGCTGTTATACGGTGAGTGCGATGAGAGAATGCGCCAGGAAATAAAGTGATCGATGTTGTTGTCTTTGAGGGTCCAGATGTGCTTGCTGAGTTCGGTAGAGTTTCTGTGTTTAGCGTGGCGGAATGATGCGGTGTGGTTTCTGTATCTTGTTTTGAAGTCATTCTCTGTGAGTCCGATGTACGTTTCTGTCGTGTTGTTGTCTTTGCGTGTAACGGAGGCTTGGTAGATTACTGATGGTTGCAGGCAGTTTCCGTCGAGCGGGCATGTGTTCTTTTGTCGGCAGTTGCATGTCTTGTTGTTATCAATGGTAGTGGCGGTGGCGGNGGATATTTAAAATGGAATAAACTATAAAAACGTGATAAAATTGAAAATGTATAAATCGATGGAGAGAGTAAATATGCATAAATCGATGAAGAAACTAAATATGTATAAAAAAAAACTAAACAGGGGTTTTGGTGGCCCCTATGAAAACAGCTGCAATGAATAGAATAGCGACAAATTGAGCACAGTAGATCCTCCGAGTGCTCGGCTGAGGATTGGCGTGAGTGAGGTAGATTTTGTAATTTAGCCTTCGGAGAGGAGAGAAGAAATTTAAATGTCGGCGGAGAAGAAGAAGTTGAGAACTCTTTTAGGTCGGAACTAAGCTCATTGAAAAGTTTAGTAGTACCACAGAAAAGTGTGCGTTTCCCAGAGTAGCTACGTGGGCACGGCGCCTACCAAAGGTCTCAACCAAAATTTTAGGTGAGATGGGAGGGAGAGAAGAGAACGGGACCACATAACCATTGAGAGAGGTAAAATCATAACTTTGAGTAGTGGAAAATTCTCTGGTTACAGTACACAATTCTTCAGCTAAATGTCAATGGCCTTAGCTATTTTTTCATTCAGATTGATGGGAATCTTCCTGGATTATTTTACATTTAATTTATTTTCCTGCTACTACATTTGTCAATGGAAACCCTTCCATATATTTAACTGGTTGACTCCTTAGCCAGTTATTCAGAGGTCCAAATAACCTGACTGTCTTAACAACTTAAGAGTGCCTGAAACATCCTCACTAGTAACACCAGTTGGGCACAATTTTCAATTTAAGGGTAAGAGATTTTGTGATTCTGGTTTCAAATTTCTTATCATACACCTCTCTATTCCTGCACCCATATTGATTTATGAATTCAAGTTCTCACCAGTGTTCCAGCCATAGAATATGATAGAAGTATCTAAAGATGGTTATTTCCAATCACATGATTGTACAGTACTCTTACTGTATTACCTGTGTAGACTTTCCACAACCTGTATCTCCAGCAATAATAACCACCTGATTACATCCCAAGGCATTTACAATTTTCTCTTTAAAATTGCTTATGTGAAGGCTGTAGTGTTGGGCATGCTGTGGTACCATGCCTCGATTTCATGCAAGCGTTCTTGTAGTGTGCTTTCTTGATAGCGGATTAAACCATCCAGTTGTGTTTACAATCCAGTGTGTTTCTTGTGTGATTTCGGCCATCGAACAACACATGGTGTCAGGAAAAGAATCTTAAAAGTAGATTAAGCTCTGGAAGGGATTATTTGCGAGGATCAAGGATGCCTGAAGGATCCTCGAGTGAAAATCAAGCACCGATGATCAATCCTGTGTCGTACCAAATATCGCCATTAAAAGAATTCGACTTCTCGACACCTTCCGAATGGATCAAATGGATAAAGCGATTCGAGCGGTTTCTTTCTGCATCTGGACTAAGTAAAAGAGATGAGGAGAGCTAAGTAAATACGCTCCTATATTCTATGGGAAGCAAGAGGGATGACATACTGGCGAAATTTGGCGTCACAACCGACGATTCAAAGAAATATGACATAGTAACAGATAAGTTTGATGGCTATTTTGTAAAGCGAGGAAATATTATCTTTGAACGTGCAAAATTTCACCGACGTAAGCATGAAACAGGTGAGTCGGTTGACTCCTTTATCACTGATTTATATGGCCTTGCCGAACATTGTCAGTTTGGTTTGTTACACAACGAAATGCTCCGTGACCGTAATGTGGTGGGTCTAGCTACCAAAAGCTGTCAGAAAACTCCAGTTGGATGCAGACCTTACCTTGGAAAAGCCATTAACACTGTGCCACAGAACGAATCAGTTAGAAGCCAACAATATATCGTTAGAGGACAAGATGACGCAAGTCAACCAGCAAAAGTGGACAGAGTTCACAAGTCCAAACCTCAGAAGCCTCCCAGGGCACCACAGAATCCTCAAAGAAAATCCTACAAGCACTCGGTCGGCCAAAACGATGTAAGCAGTGATGTCTGCAAACGATGTGATAAAAGTCCAACTCACAAAAGAATCCAGTGTCCTGCCAAAGATGCCCGTTGCCAAAAATGTAAAAAGAAAGGTCACTTCCAAGCCGTCTGCCTAAGTGGAAAAGTAAATACAGTCGTAGAAGTTGATTCAGATTACTTTCTTGGTGCCCTTGGTTCAGACGAAATCGACAGTCTACACAGTGATCCTCGGAAAACAAATGTCTCTATTAATGGCACTAGCGTTGAATTTAAACTCGACACGGGAGCTGATGTCTCAGTTGTTCCCGACTTCATCGTTCCTAAGCTGACTGCTACACTTCACAACACAAAGAGGACCTTGACAGGGCCTGATGGGTACAAGCTCAAAGTCGTTGGAGTAATGTCTGCCACCTCAAAAGCCAATCGCTTGGAATCAAAGCAAGAGATCTTTGTTGTAAGGAATTTGAAAGCTGCACTACTTGGTAGGCCCGCCATTGAAGCTCTGAACCTGGTGAAAGTTCTAAACGCTGTGGAAGAGTCGCACAAAGAGTATGTGCAAGCCAGACACCCTAAGCTTTTCAAAGGATTAGGAAAGGAA